TACTGGCTCTCCTCTCAGCCTCATACTGACTGCTGCATGATTCTTTCCCTAAGCCATTTACTAGTGTGTGTAATGCAAGTTCATCTGTTTTATAAGTGTGAGGATTAATTGTGGTGCTGAGAAACAATTTTGCCAACTCTAAAGCTGTGACATCTACACTTCAGGGTTTCATAGAACAGTGTACTTTCCAAAAAGAATGAGCAGCTTTAAGTTTTGACAGCGATTAAAAGAAAAAACAAAAAAAAAAACCCCTCAAATCCCTTTAGCTGTCACCTAAAAAAATGAATGACACCAAAATCATTGAAAGGGCATGAGCTATGAATAAAAGAAAACTTCCCAGGAGCAGTCACATGCCAAGCTATGCCTGATTTTTTTGCCCCTATTCCAAATAGTTCTCAGACAAGCTTTTGGCAACTGCTTCTGAGCAGCTTTGGACCTTTTGGTGTTGTGGGATGTCTACAGCTCTGCTTGCCGATTTTTGAGGCACTTAAAGTCTTAAGCACCATCCAGCTCCATGCAATGACTCTGACTAAAGCCCTTTCTCTCCAGGTCATTCTGGCCCGGCAGTATGGCTCTGAAGGCAGGTTCACGTTCACGTCCCATACTCCTGGCGAGCATCAGATCTGTCTTCACTCCAATTCCACCAAGTTCTCCCTTTTTGCTGGAGGCATGTTGGTAAGTGGACTCACATGGGACCAGCCCCTGTTTGGGACGGGACTGGTGATACTGTGGGTATGAGATGAGTATGTGGAGTTCTTTGCATCTATACCTTGGACAGAGCATCAGCCAAGGCTTATTCTTTTCTGTGTGTCTAGAGCCCCATAGAGCTGGACACTGAGGAGGCTTCATCAGTGTTGGCTTAATGAACAATTTAAGGAAGGTGGGTGGACTGTCAGCCCTTGGCATGAAGAGGGAGCAGAGCTACCTGATTGTCTTTCTCTTCCTTGTCTGTTCACAGAGAGTCCATCTGGACATTCAGGTGGGTGAACACGCCAATGACTATGCAGAAATTGCTGCCAAAGACAAGTTGAGTGAGTTGCAACTACGAGTACGACAGCTGGTGGAGCAAGTAGAGCAGATCCAGAAAGAACAGAACTATCAGCGGGTGAGTGGCTAGGCTAGGATCAGTGGGCTTCTTCTCTGAAGCTGCCTACTGGCTCAGCCAGGAGTTACATGTCAGATTTATTATGAAACATACCAGGTTGTCTACTTTGCAAATTTAAAAGGTGGGATGGCTATTATTTATTTATTTATTTTTTTAATATATTTTATTGAGTTTCTACAGAGAGGAAAGGAGAGAGACAGAGAGCCAGAAACATCGACGAGAGAGAAACATCGACCAGCTGCCTCCTGCACACTCCCCACTGGGGATGTGCCCGCAACCAAGGCACATGCCCTTGACCGGAATCGAACCTGGGACCCCTCAGTCCGCAGGCCGACGCTCCATCCACTGAGCCAAACCGGTTCCGGCGGGATGGCTATTATTAACTCTTCTTTGTATTTGAGGAGACAGTCTCTTAAGGCTGTTATTGCCCTAGGTTACACAGTTACAGAGTGACAGCAGGAATTGATACCAAAACTTGGGTGCTATTTCCATGGCTCTAGGTGATCCCAGGGGTTTCAAACTCACCTGTGTCCAGGAGTAAGCAGTTTCCATTAGTGGATCTATGACCATAAGGATTGGTAGGATAGTAACCTGCCTAACCAGGGAAAGCTGTTGCCAGCCAAGGACAACCTTGTAGAAATGCTAGCTGGCTCTGGGTTTTAAGAGGAGCTAGAGGTCCAGGTTTTTGTGTGAAAAATTCATTGGTTTTAAATGTTAGCAAAATACTGTGTGAGCCAAACAACACACACGTAAGGACCAGGTGCAGCCCCTGGACCACCAGTTTGCAACCTGTGCCCATAATCTTTTTTTTTTTTTTTTTTTTTAAATATATTTTATTGATTTTTTACAGAGAGGAAGGGAGAGAGATAGAGAGTTAGAAACATCGATGAGAGAGAAACATCGATCAGCTGCCTCCTGCACATCTCCTACCGGGGATATGCCCGCAACCCAGGTACATGCCCTTGACCGGAATCGAACCTGGGACCTTTCAGTCCGCAGGCCGACGCTCTATCCACTGAGCCAAACCGGTTTCGGCCTGTGCCCATAATCTTCAAGGAGCAGTTGGGAGACCTGAGCAGAGAGGACTCAGAGCAAGCCCATTCCTGGGCACTTCAGGACAGCTCTGTCTGATGGTGATATCACACTACTTTACCTCTCTAAGCACCAGGGTAGGACCTGGGAGGTCTGTAACTGACAGAGCAAAACAGACTTAAGTTACCTGAGGTCCTCTGGCTAGTGAGGGTGAAGACAGTCCCCACATGGGGTGGCTCTTTGCAGCGTTTGACTGGTACCTGTGCAGAACTAGTTGGCCCTGGGCCATATTCCAGGGAGGTAACCCAGCAGTTCTAATGGACCCAGGTGGGGCCCAGCCAATTCAGGCTCTTCTTTCATTCTCCCCTCCCACAGTGGCGAGAGGAGCGCTTCCGGCAGACCAGCGAGAGCACCAACCAACGGGTGCTGTGGTGGTCCATTCTGCAGACCCTCATCCTCGTAGCCATCGGTGTCTGGCAGATGCGACACCTCAAGAGCTTCTTTGAAGCCAAGAAGCTGGTGTAGCCATCCTTCCTCCAGGCTGGGGGAGAAGAGGCCTCCTGGAACTGATTTCTCTCTGGCAGGAGGACTGATTCCCAGCCATGGATGTTCTGGAGGGAAGAGAGGTCACACGCACCCCAGGCACAAGCTAAGGGGAGCAGCTCAGCTGGCTAATACTGAGCAGGTGGTGGGGCAAATGCCTGCCCTCTCTCCTGAGCTCTGGGCCTTTGCAGTAATCTCCTAGGGGCTATTGAAGCCACTGGGAGCCCCACTGGCACCTCAGAATCACAATGTTACTGATCAGGGATGTGAGGCTGTTATCTGGGGTGGCTGCGGGGAGGGGAGTGGGTGGGCAAGCCAGTTACTTTTTGTCTTCCTTGCTAACTTGGGGTTTTAGGCAGGTTGGGATATAGCTGCGATTCTCTGCCACCCTGAGAACCTCCTTGGGCCTAAATCCAGCCTGCTGATCCAGGGTGTGTGTGTCAATTGAGGGTGGGATAGAGGGGGTTGCAAAGTGGGAAAATGGTCCTGAGATTGACTCCAGGTTTTTCACTTGGGTGTCCTTTTTGGGGCTTGAGGAACTGGGATCAGGGCAAGCAGAGGTCTTGGTGCTGGCTGGGGATGGGGCCTGCAGAGTCTTAGTTACTGATTTCATTTTCAATAAGTCTAGGTTTGTTACATTGGTTTCCCAATAAAAAATTTAAAAAAGACTTCTTGTCCAATGTAAAGTTACTCTACTATCAGTGGGCATAACACTTCAGGGAATGTCAGTTCTTCCAGTGGGCAAAGCACTTCATATTCCAAGAGGAGTACCCACCTTTGAACGTCAATCTTTGTTTTTTAAATATATATTTTTATTGATTTCAGAGAGGCAGAGAGAGGGATAGAAACATCATGGATCAGCTGCCTCCTGCATGTCCCCTACTAGGGATTGAGCTGGCAACCTGGGCATGTGCCCTGACTGGGAATTGAACTGTGACTTCCTGGTTCATGGGTCAGTGCTCATCCAAATAGCCACACTCACGAGGCTGAACTTCATTCTTTTCATCCTCTCCATCCCTTCCTGCAGCAGAGGGTAGTGGTTTCGCCCAAGGATATCCAACAAGTATATTGGGTTGGGGTTCAAATTCACACCACTTCCTCTGTGCCAGCTCCCTCATGAAGTGCCTCCCTACCTTTCCAGAGTAGGTGGACTCAGAATAGACTTGTCATGGTGCTGCAAGGAAATGCCTATTTAGAATGCAGTTCTTTGAACAGGAATGCTACAGGTGTGGGAAGGACAGAAATCCCTGGGTAGGTAGGGATAAGGATATTGATGGGCTTAACCCAGTAGCGTGGAATCAGCTGCCTCTTGCATGCCCCCTACTGAGGATGAAGCCTGTAACCCAATCAGGGAGTTTCTCCTATTATTAACGTCATGTATTAGTATGGTACATTTGTTAGAAATTAATGAATGTAGCCAGGCTAGTGACTCAATTGTTTGAGCGTTGTCCCATGAACCAGGAAGTCACAGTTTGATTCCCGATCAGAGCACATGCCAAGGTTGCAGGCTGATCCCCAGTAGGGGGCATGCAGGAGGCAGTAGCCATAGATGCTTCTCTCATCAATGTTTATATCTCCTCTCTGAAATCAATAAACAATTTTATAAAATATTAATCTAGTAATACATTATTATTAACTAAAATCCATAGTTAATGCAGATTTCCTGACTTGTTACCTATGTCCTTTTTCTGATCCCCTCTATGAAAGTCTGAGAAACTGTCACCGCCAAGAGAAGCCCAAAGAGACAACTAAATCTAAATCTATGGTGTCCATCTCTCTACCAAGTTTATTTTTTCCTTTAGTCCTCACAGCAATCATGTAGATCAGGCACGGTATATACGTATACTTAGGAGAGGGAACAGAGATTGTTTTGCCCCCACACATAGCTGAATTGGCAGAGTCAAGTTTCGAATCCAGTCCATCGGTCTGTAGTGCCTGGCTCCTAACTCCATGGGGTATCTCTTGAACGCAAGACTAAGCCCTGAGCTTGGCTTTGCGGTCCTCCAAGCTTGTTGCAGAGGAAGAATGCACCTGAGTTGACAGCCAGGAGGCCCAGACGCTCCTCGCCTTCCCTTGGGAAGAGGAAGATGCAAATAACCCCAGGGCGCCGGTTTGAAAGTCCTGCCCCAACCCAGTGACTTGAGCCCCCCTGGGGCCTTAGTATCTCGGGATGTTAGGAAGCGGGGGCAGTTAGCAGTCCAGTGGTAGCCGTGCTCGCGTGTTTCTCCACAGGCGGAACCTTTGTCGCCACAGCTCCGGGGAGCAGACGGCGCGGCCGGAGCGGAGGACCCGCAGGACCGAGGGGCTGGGCGACGGGTAGGGGCGGGGCGGGAGGCGGAGGTGCCGCGTAGGCCGAGGAGGCCGGCCCGCCCGGCTGGGAGCTCGAGCCCCATGCGCGGCCGCCTCCCCCCACGATGTTCCCCGCCCGGAGGAAAGCGGCGCAGCTGCCCTGGGAGGACGGCAGGTGAGCGGCGCCGGCCCCGGGCCCTGTCCTCCGGGTGCCGATCTTTACCGGCCGCGGGGCGGAATCTAGGAGCCGGAGGCCGTCGCGACTCGTCTCTGCGGGGCTCTCTGAGGGTCTGTGGTTCTCATCGTGGGTCACTGGGTCTCGGGAGTGCGTGTCTGTCTCCGTGTGGGTCTCTGTGGCTTCCAGTCTCTGTCACTCTGCAGGGCTCCGTCACCCGTGGGTCTTTTTCTCCGCTGACTTCCCTTTGTGAGTTCCTGGTTCTCTCTTTGCAAAGTCGTGTTCTCAGGAGTTTCTCCTCTGGCCACTCCCTATCTGAGTGCTGGTCAGTGACTCCGTTGACCTCTCTGAATGGATCTCTGTCTTTCTGTCCCCGGTCTAGGAGTCTGTGTTCCATTTCTCTGTTTCCACCTCCCCATCACCTCCATGTAGCGGAGACCCTCCCTCCTTCGCGCTTCCCCTTCCTTTCTGGGCCACCCAAGGGAACGCGCCGAACAGCAGCTCTGCCCGGCTGCCCGCTGCCCGGCTAGTGGGCCTCCTCCCGCAGCGCTGGTTCACCCCCTGCAGCCGCACTTGCACGGAGCCTGCCCCGGGCTAGGTATGGCCTGGCCCAGGCCTTAGCTAATGTTTACCACTGAAGCAGAATCGGGGAGGTGGAGCTTTGTAGTTGTCTACATTTGGGAGGACACTTCAATCTTGAGATGTGACCCCAAAACTCTTCTCACCTAGAACACATAGTGAGTCTTTTTAAAAATATATATATTTTATTGATTTTTTTACAGAGAGGAAGGGAGAGGGATAGAGAGTTAGAAACATCGATCAGCTGCCTCCTGCACACCCCCTACTGGGGATGAGCCCGCAACCAAGGTACATGCCCTTGATGGGAATTGAACCCGGGACCCCTCAGTCTGCAGGCCGTCGCTCTATCCACTGAGCCAAACTGGTCAGGGCACATAGTGAGTCTTTACCCAGCGAATGACACCTCCTGCCCTTTAGATCTCTTAACTTGGCCATGTGCCAAGTGGTTCTGGGATATAGTGGCCACAACTCTTTATCTATGGGGATTTTTCAGAGTTGGTGTTGAAGTAAGAAGACAGGACTATAAGAGAAAGAAAGCCAGAACTGTGGAATTAGCCCTGGGCAGAAATCCTCTTTAATCGCCATGTGACCAGAAACATATCACTTAATCTTTCCGACGTCAGCTTTTCCATCTCTGAAACCAGGAAGAGAGCTATATGAGGACTGAAGGAGACAAACGTAAAATCCTTGATACTGTGCCTGGCACAGAGGAGGTATCTTCCACTTACCCTTGCCATTTGGAGGTGCTGTCATCAGAGCATTTGAGTATTCAAAGCTTATATCACTACGATTTGGGTGAGAGAAGAAAGGAAAGGTAGTGGAAGAAAATTTTCATTTCCTGATCCCTTTTCATAAACCTTTGGACAAACACTGTGTTCTCAGAAAAAGTTACTGATGTCTCTTCTCGCTTTTGACACAGGGCTACAAAGGTCCATGCAACAGATGCAGGCTAATGTAGCAATGAAGAGGGCTGGCTGCGGAGCCAGCCTGCCTCGGTTTGAAACTTCTCTTTCCTAGTCTTGGGCACAGACTGAAGAAGGAGAAAAAACCTCATCTGGTTTGCCCCTCAGAGCAGGGTGGCCCGGGCCTGGGAGCCGATGGGACTGGAGTTTGCCATCATGTGGCATCAGGGCAACTTCTCAGTGTTGTCCACTGTCCCAAGGAATTGGGATTCGGCTCTGAATTAAGCTGTTCAGCACTTTAGACTTTTAACAGCTCTGGATGAGAGTACCCAATGGGGATGTGATGCTGGTAGGAAGGGAGGGAAAGTTAGACCAAGGAAACAGCATGTGAAAGGGCATGGAGTGCCCAGTTCGTGCCATACCCTGGGTAATGGTCATTGCTTCTTCCCCTGAAGGTGGGATGGTTCCCCATGTCCACCTCCCCGGTATCCACCCCATCCCCAGAAAGGGCTCAGAGGGAGAATCAGTAGAGACTCCAGCCTTCCCAGGCCACTGGCAGGATTGGGTTCTGCTCCCCATCGGAAACCCCCACCACAGGACAATGGGGGGTAAGTCAGAAGCCCCCTGTGTGGGTGTCCTACCCAGCCATCTCTCTGCTGTGTGTGGGACCTGGCTTCAGGACTGCTGGCTTTCTGGTTGGCAATTGTGCCACTATAGAGAGGCAGGACTTGGTGTGGCTCTAACTGCATAACTTAAAGCATGCCCTGGCTGCTTGAACCCTTCCTGTAGCTCACTTCGCATGCCCTCTGCTGTGTGTCTGGTGCTGCAGCCACAGACAGGAACCTGATTATTTATGGGGAAGACAAGCAGGGACTTGGGGGATTACAAACCTCTAAGTACTTCAAAGGGTGAAGTACCAGATGCCATGGAAGCATAGAAGGGGCATGTATCTCAGTTTGTATACGTGAGAAGATGGGCAGTGCTGGCCATGACATTGGAGTTTGGCCCTGAAGGATCAGTGAGGGGCTTTCAGACAGGAAAGGCATTTCAGGCAGAAGCATCAGGCTGTGTGAGGGCTGGAGCAGGAAGGAATATGGTGAGCAGAGGAGCTCAGAGTTGGCCAAATTATAGCATTGGATGAGTGGTAAGGGGCAACGAGATGGGGCCAGGTCACGGGGGTTTGACTGTCAGACCAAGGAATTTGGTCTTTTTCTTGTAAACAGAAGAGGATCATCCATGAGATTGAAGAGATCTGAGCTGGGCAAGGACCAATGAGACCCAAGCACAGAAGAGAGGCAGTAGGTGAGGAAGGGTCAAGGGACACTTAGGAAGTAGAATCTATAAGCCTGGTAGCTACTTGGTGACTCATAGAGGTTATAGACAGGTTGCTTTGCTGATTACTTCATGGGGAGTCCTGCAGAGGAAGCCTCCCTTTTCTTGGATTCCCCAGCTCCTCCTTCACTACCCTCAGGAACTTCTAGAGAGAGAGGCAAAAGAATCAGGTGAATTACACTTGTTTTTTTATACTTTCTAACCTAAAGGCCAATCTCTCTCAGCACTACCTCAGTGTTTAAGATGCCAGCTGTCTTCCCAGTTTCTGAAATGAGCCCGGGTACTAGCCCAAGCCCCAATCTTTCTTTCCCTACTCCATCTCTCAACTCTTGTCGCATGGGCTGCCTGTTGGACTGAAGCTTTGAGACTTGTTCAGTGAACTGCCACTGTCAGTTTGGGCCTTGCATTGGTTTGGGGGCAGGCCTGATCTTCCGAAAATAACATTGGATTTTTCGCTGGTGATTGATGCCAGCACAGACCCAGATCTTGGGGAGCTTTCTGGTGAGAAGCAGGATGAAGCCAACGTTTCAGCAGGTGGTGAACATACAGGGTGTGGAAGGCAGTGGGTGAGATCTCTAAGTCCAGGCTCCTGCCATCAGCTCAGGTCGGGAACCCCTGTCCTGGGGAGGGGCAAGTGCAAGATACAAGGAGCCTTATCCCAACCTTCATGGTCTGGCCAGGGCTCATTCACAGAAAATAAGAAAGCATCAAGGAATGGGCAGCTCTGCGACCCAGGAGTGGTCGGAGGGCTTTCTGGAGGTGGGGGCATGGGCTGTATTCTGACACATGCTAACAGCATGAACAAAAGCATTAAAGTTGCTTCTGCACTAATTCACAGGTGCTTAGGCAGACCAGCCCTACTTGTGGGGAAGCCAGAGAAGGGGTCTGTGACAGAATCCCAGACCAGACCTGCCCTTCTGACCATCCCTGCTCTTGTCCCAGGTCCAGGCTGCTTCCCAGCAGCCTTCCCCGGAAATGCTCCGTCTTCCACCTCTTCGTTGCCTGTCTCTTACTGGGCTTCCTCTCCCTGCTCTGGCTGCAGCTTAGCTGCTCTGGTGACATGGCCTGGGCATCCAAGGGACAAGGGCAAGAGACCCCAGGTCCACCCCGGGCCTGCCCCCCAGAGCCGCCCCCTGAGCACTGGGAAGAAGATCCATCATGGGGCCCTCACCGCCTGGCAGTGCTGGTGCCCTTCCGAGAACGCTTTGAGGAGCTCCTGGTCTTTGTGCCCCACATGCATCGCTTCCTGATCAGGAAGAAGATCCCACACCACATCTACGTGCTCAACCAGGTGGATCATTTCAGGTAGGGACTACCTGACCCTGCTCCCCCTCTCCAGGGGCCTCACCTTGCCCAGGCCTTTCAGGGCCTGCTCCCTTTCCTGGCAGCAGCCCAATGCTGGTGGGCCTCAGACCTGTGAAGGGCACCTGGGTCAGTGGCAGGAGGGAGGGAGGGAGGTGGGACCCTTCTCACTGGGGGTGACAGAAATCTTTGGGGAAAGTTTGGGGCTGGGGAAGGCCCTGATCTGATTTCCATTTTAAAATGGGAGTGCTGTACATGGAGTAGATTATACCAGGACAAGAGGAGGAGCAGGGAGAGCTGTGGGTGGTCACTGCAGTTGTCTGAGATGATGGGGACTTGGCCAGCATGTAGAAGGAATGGAGGAAGCACAGACAGGGCTTGCCAGGGGATTGGTGGTAAGGATTAGGCGAAGGGAGTGTCAATACAATGGCTTTAAAGTTGTTCACAGTCTGGCATTATCCTGAAATCTTTGCACTTACCAAAATCTTTTCTCCATAATCACAATCGAAGCATCTCACACTCTACCCCACCTTTCCTTCCAATGCCCTCCCTCTGGAAACTCCCTACAGTTCCTGGACACCACCAGGCCCTGTAGTCCAGGATGCTCCCAATTTTCTTTCTTTCTATTTTATTGGGGTGACATTAGTCTACATGAACATATAGGTTACATGTCTGGATTACTAATTTACAAAATCTGTATATAGGACCATGTGCCCACAACCCCCAATTTTCTTTTTTTATTTTGAGAATACCTTTATTAAAGCGGGGGACAGTGAAACAAAGGAAGGGCTTAGGGTAGAGGAAACAACAGGAGAGAGAGAGAGAGAGAGAGAGAGAGAGAGAGAGAGAGAGCGAGCCCCAGCGAAGTGCTCTGCTTTGGCTCTCTAGAACCGTTATAGGACAGAAGTGGGCCACGCTGGGCTGAGTAAATTCACTGAGAAGTAAAGTCACAGTGAAAGTCCTGGCCAGTTTTTCTCAGTGGTTAGAGTGTCAGCCTGCAGACCAAAGTGTCTTGGGTTCAATTCAAGGTCAGAGGCATGTACCACAATTGCAGGTTCAATCCCTGGTCCCAGTCGGAGCACAGATAGGAGGCAACCAATCAATGTGTCTCTCTCTCTCCCCTTCCACTCTCTCTAGGAATCAATGGAAAAAATATCCTCTGGTGAGGATTAACAGCAAAAAAAGTTACAGTGAAAGAAGTGGGCCAAGGCAGGCTGTTTTTTGCTCACTGAAGTCTAGGACAGGAGAAGCAACAGGAGATAGCCTTGGTGGTGATCTGCTTGGCTCTCTAGAAACATTATAGGAAAGAAGTGAGCCAAGGCAAGGTTGGTTATCTCACTGAAAAGTCAGAGAGAAGGGGGCCTTGTAGAGAGTTCAGGGTGTAAGCCAGGGATGAGCTGCCGCTGCCATTGCTCCTCTGGTTGCAAGTCTCGTGGGATTCTTAGAGTTTAGGAGAGAAAAGTAAAGATGCACACCTGAGAGGGAAGAAAGGTGAGTGTGCTCCAGGAGAGCCTGCCAATGCTCCCAATTTTCACTGTCCACTCTCCTTGTCCTCACTTTCTCCTCACCTAACTTGGATTCCATGGCTCATTGTTAAAATCACTCCCCTGCACATATCTCAATTCCCCTGCCCCTTTCTGCCTGGCACAACTTCTGCCTGGTGAAACCTGACTTTCATTTACACCTGCTCCTGGGCAGCTGATGTGACTGGAGACATTGAGCCCTGGCCCAGGAAGCTCCTCAGCCCTGCCTGAAAGCCTCGAATTCCTCTAGTCTTCTGCCTTTCCCCTCTCCTCACCCATCCTCCCCCCAACTTTGCTTTCTTTTTGAGAAAACAGAACCAACTGGAAGAAAACTTGTGCAAGTCCCCAAACCCTGGCCCTGTGGACCAGCTTCTGTGCATGGTTGCTTTTGATGCCTTGTCCCAGCTCTGCTGGGGCCAGCTCTTCCACTGGCACTAGCTCCCTTTCTCATCTCCTACTCAAGGACATCACTCCAGCTGTGGGCCCTTTTCTGTCCTACATGATCAAGTTTTTCTTCCTTTCTGGGTCATTTGCATCAGCATACAAAATTGCACATCTCCCACAGCTATCACCTCATTTCTCTGCTCCCCTTTATAGCAAAACTCCTCCCACTTATCCCCTCATTGCTAAAACAGCTTTCACTGACATCACCAATGAACATTGTTAATCATCCTTCATCCTGTAGACTTCTCGGCAGCATTTGCCAAATGGGTTACTTCTTCCTTCCTCAAACACCTCTGTCTGACTTCCGGGGCAGCCCTCTCTGAGTCTCCTCCTTTCTCACTGGCTGCCCTCCCCTCCTTCTTTCCAGGTTCTGCCTCAGCTCCCTGGTCTCTCGGTCTCAGTGCTCCTGAGTGTCTCCTTGCTGGCTACAGTCACTCCCTGGGGGATCTCATCCAGGCTCAGAGCATTAGGTCCCATCTCTACTCTGGCGACTCCAGAGGCTGTACTCCCAGCCTAGACTTCTCTCCTAAACTCCAGATCTGCACATCCATCTAGTTGCGCAGCTCTCCATTTGCTGGTCTCGGAAGCACCTCAAGCTTAACTTGATCAAAGCTGAATTCCTGATATCCCACCTGGCTGACCAGCTTCCCCTGCCTCCTCCCCGACCAGGAAATGCCAACTCCATGCTTCCAGTTACTCAGCCCAAAAAGCCTTGGAATCATTCTCCACTTTTCTTTCTGTCTCACATGAGACATCCAGTTTGTCAGCAGAATCCATCTAGAATCTGCCCACTTCTCACCGTCTTCACTGCCACCTCCCTGAGCTAAATCACCATCATCTTTTGCCTAAATTATTGTAATGGCCTCTCAACTCACCTGTATGCTTCCACCTCGGTCCTCCAGTCTCTTCTCAACACCCCAACTAGAGTGATCCTGTTGCACCCTAAGTCACAGTGTGTCATGCCTCTGCTCTAAGCCGTCCAGTGGCTCCCCATCTCTTCACGGCCAAAGCCTAAGCCCTTCAGGGGCCCGTCACCTTCTGACCTCATCCTCTATGCCCCACTCACTCACTGCCTGGCCACATTGGTGCCTAGGCCTTGCTAGGCACTCTCTCCTCTGCTCAGAGCCCCCTTCCCCTGATTTCCATAGGGCTCATTCCCTCCAGCCTTCAGGTTTCTACTCACCCTTCACCCTGTTACCCTGACCACCTGTCTTAAAGAACAACTGCCTCATGCTTTGACCTCCTGCTTTACTTTTCTCTACAGCACTATCTGGCTTTTTAAGTATTTATTTGTTTATTTTTGTCTCCTGTTATTCAAATATCAACTCCTTGAGGGCAGGGCTTTGATTTCTCACTGTTAAATCCTATGCTCTCAGCAGTTTCCGGCACATAGTAGGTGCTCAGTAAACATTTGGGCAATGAATGGAGGAGCAGACGTGAAGCTGGATAGCTCCACAGTGAAATCAGTGTCGGCCTGGAGGGCAGCATAGGCCCCAGGGTGGGTGGTGTAGAGGACGGGCTCTCCTGCAGAGTCTGGGGGAGAGCCAGCTCGCTGCCCGTACCCTGCCCAGCGTTGGCCGTTCTGTACAGGTTCAACCGGGCGGCACTCATCAATGTGGGCTTCCTGGAGAGCAGCAACAGCACAGACTACATCGCCATGCACGACGTGGACCTGCTCCCTCTCAACGAGGAGCTGGACTATGGCTTCCCTGAGGCAGGGCCCTTCCACGTGGCCTCCCCAGAGTTCCACCCGCTCTACCACTACAAGACCTATGTCGGCGGCATCCTGCTGCTCTCCAAGCAGCACTACCAGCTGGTGAGGCCCAGCCAGCCTGTTCTGCTGAGCCAGGGAGCTCCCACTGGGTGGGGGCACTGACAGGAGGAGGGCAGTTCTGGGGCGCAGCAGGGAACCCAGGAGCAGCCAGAGACAGGAGAGAAGAGCAGGAGCAAGCAGGTCAGTTAGGGTCGATTCAGGCGCAGCACAGAAAGCCCGTGAAAGTTGGCTTCATAAAAGTTGGGTTCATTGGGTCTTAAAATGGATGTCTGGTTGGGGCAGAGAGGAGGGTGTTGCTTCCTGTGTGGCTTGCCCAGCCTCTCAGACAGTGTCACTAGGGCACCATTTCTCTCTCCTCATTTCTGCCTTCTTTAGGCAGGATTTCTTTCCAGATACTCAGGGTGAGGGGTGGTGGTTGTGGTTGCAGTCTGTACCTGTCTAGGCCCACGTCCACTGGAAGAGGGAGCTCCCTCTCCACAGCCACACCGCACAGGCTCTTGATTGGCCTGACTTGTGTCCTGGGCCCATCCCTGAGTTAGTCCCTGTGGCGGGGGGCGGGGAGGGGGGGAGCAGGGGGAGGAGAAGAACTGAGTAGCTTAGACCTGAGTCTCCTGCTCCTCACAAGACTAAAGCCAGCTTTATGTAAATGAAGTCCCTAATCTGGTAGCGAAAATTGGTATCTGCCACAGAGCCCAACTGTTCCTCTCCCACACAGAGGAAGAAGCCAGGGCTGAGCCCAGAAGAAATGGGGAGGGGCAAGCAGGAATTGGTACTTCTGCCCTTTACCAGCCACCCAGAGAGGTGCCCTCCTGCCAGTCAGATATTTTGGGGAAACAAATCATCTCACACAAGTTCCAGGCACAGGGGCTGGCATGTGCTGATTGTCCCCCCAATACTGCAGAGGTTGTGGGAACTATGAGCATCGGTGTCCACTGAAAACTTCCAGGGGAGGAGGAAAGGAGGCTGGGTACTTCTGAGAGGTAAGAGACCAAAGAGCACACTGGGCGGATGAGGCATGTGATGCTGTCTGTCTCTGTGTTAGTGCAATGGGATGTCCAACCGCTTCTGGGGCTGGGGCCGTGAGGACGATGAATTCTACCGGCGCATCAAAGGAGCTGGGCTCCAGGTAACACCCCCAGGTCCCTACCACCACCTCAGCCATCGTGGCCACCCTGAGGCTCCCTTCTCTGCCCTCAGCGTGGAGATCCTCAGCTGGTTCTGATCCTAGTCCTGCCCCCAACTTAGCACACCTCTTCTGCATAATGGGAATACAGGCCCTTGCCTGTGGCCTGTGGCAGGCAATGGGACCCCAGAGGACTAGTGGCGAGGGCCAGGGCTCCAGGAGGGGCAGCCTAACCCAACTTCCTTTGGCCTCCTCAGCTATTCCGCCCCTCGGGAATCACAACTGGATACAAGACATTTCGCCACCTGCATGACCCAGCCTGGCGGAAGAGGGACCAGAAGCGCATTGCAGCTCAAAAACAGGTGCTGACTGGTTCCCTGATCAGGCATGGATAGGCGATGACATGGGGGAGCCAGCAGGCCCAAGCATTTCACCAAGTTCTACTTGGGTTCAAATGGCCCTACCCACTCCTTTTTGGCCCAGCTCAGTCGATGGCATTTTGTTTGGGTACCCTTCCCTGGTTGGTGGTTGCTATGGGACCTGGGACCTGGATCAGATGACCCCCACGCAGGCTGGGTGGAGGGTACTCAGTTGAAGGTGCCAGAATCCCAGGCAGACCTGCAACCCAAGAGTTCCCATCCCTCAAACAGCTCTTCTCTAGGAGCCATACTAGTCAACTGAAAACCCCTGCTCTCCTGCTTACTGGGGCATACAGCTGTGGGCGAGCCTCTCTTCAGTGGGGTCACAGAACCTCTGATGATGAGGTCATCGGCATCCATATACAGCTGGCACCCACAAAGCCCTGAGTATGTGCTCTCTCCCCTTTTCCTTCCCAGGAACAATTCAAGGTGGACCGGGAGGGAGGTCTGAACACTGTGAAGTACCGTGTGGATGCTCGCACAGCCCTGTCTGTGGGTGGGGCCCCGTGCACTGTTCTCAACATCATGTTGGACTGTGACAAGGCTGCCACCCCCTGGTGCACATTTGGCTGAGTTGGCTGGACAGTAAGGAGGCTTGTACCTACAGGCCACACTGCTACTCAGGCCCTGGACAAAGCCTCAGGCCCTGGGCCCAGCTCCAGTAGGATGTGGAGTGGTCTGCAGGCTACGTGTTTGCAGCAGCCTGGCCCCCAGAGGCAGGCTTGAGCCAGGACAAGACACACAGGGTGCCTGGGATGCTGCTAGCAATAAACAGTGATGGAGAGAGGCTGGGATGTGGCTCCCAACCGGGCCTCTCTGCCCTGCCTCTGCTTGCCCTGCTCTGCCCTCCTTTGCATGCTGAGACCTGAGGGCTTTTGTTCCTTCCTCCAGGACCGCCTCATGCAGAGATATGGTTTAGAGGCCAGGCTGCTGATATGAGTGGCTACGGCCATTGGGAGGCTTAAAGTGCAGAAACCAGAGAGCAAGCCCCACAGAAAGGGAACAACTGAGAGCAGCTCTAGCTGGTTGTCACCATGTAGGAATGTGGGCCTGTGTTGTCAGATCTTCTGATTTTTCAAAAGAAACTAGAAGTCTGGATTCTTAAGTGAAATTGGTTAATTATTAAATGATAGCAACTAATTGAAACTTTTAAAAAGTATGGCAGTCCGAACAAAATGTGTTGTGAACCACCAGTTTGTCACTGTGGCTGAAGGGAAGGGATAGGACAAAAGATGACATCTCTCTTTGTTATAAGCTGGCAAGGAGTTGGGTTAGGGCTGCGGATGGCAAGACCAGGGGAAGCTCAGGTGGGAGAGAAGCCAAAGACACAAGGTTCCTGCTACCGCCCACAGCCCTCTAGGCCTTGTTTCGGGGCATTGTGACCACCGCCAGGCTCTAGTGAGCTCTGACTCTGGGAAGGGGACTTCACCTGCCTCACTAAGATGGACCGATCCAGAGGACTGGACTCAGGGCAGGCAGAATGTGTCGGCAGTGGCTCAGTCATGGCTTGAGGAAGTGAGGGCCATGTTTCTGACGCCAGAGGAAGAAGATGAGAAGTGGGAGAATCCCTGGGGTGTTCCCACAGCACAAGCGATCACCCAATGCCAAGGAGAGGTGAAGGAGGGGAGTTGAGGGGACTGTGGAATTGGAGAGTGATCTTGCAGGGAAGCCTGGGGCCAATGAGAGAGTGGGAGGCCACGGGCCCTGCAAAGTAGATCACTTCTTTAAGGCATTTGACTGCCAAAGATTGGCGGCAGAAGTCCGAGGGGACTGGGACAGTTAGGCTAGTTTTACAAGTAGGACACCTGGAATGCTGGAGGAAGAGATTGAGGTCCTACAGTTCAAGAGGGTGGATTCAATAGCTCTGCTCCAAAAAGACTCCTCTGAGCTGCTGTGTGCAGTTGTGTGGGTTGTGCACTCTACAACCTAAGCATAAGCCAAGAGACTTGAGCCAAGATGAGCAGAGTGAAGCTTCAGGCTCCATATAACTGTTCACGTGGATAACAGAGGGTCTTTGTGATCCTAAATTGGTCTTACCCAGTGATTCAGCCCCACAGTGAGGGGCACGCAAGCTGCAATTACAGTGCAAGGGTGGTGAGCAGGACTTACTCAACTTGAGGTCCAGGAGAGGGGAATAGTGTGTTTTCTGTATGCCAGTCTCCCGGGCAACCATGGCTAAATCATCCTGGACTTAAGTAATGTGGAGGCAAAACTCCAGCCTCTTGGAGCTGGTGGGAATGGATGTGGTATCATAGCCCTCAGCTCTGTACTCATCTGGCACATAGGAAGACCTCACAAAATGTGGGTGTTCCTTTATACCTGCACCAAGGATGTAGAATGAGCAGAAGAAAAGCAGGATCAGCTCACTCAGCCTGGGCTGGGGCACAACTCCGACCTGGGGCCCCACACTCCCCTATGGCTGCTGCTGTCACCTCCAGGAGAGTGGGAGAGAGCTGAGCAATGGTTTGCAGGGGGAAGAAGCAGGCAGCTCTACTGCTTCCTAGTGCCTTGGTTGCCTCCTCTGTGGAGTAGAGCTAACATCCCTGTCTCGCTGGCCAGATATGGATGAAATGAATCCAGGATGAACTGGCACCTGCTGAGCATTCACTGAGTACAACATGCTAGGTCTTATTGGTTAATCTGTCTTGTAGCTGAGGATGGTGGAGCACAGAGAGCTAAGTAGCTTGCCCAAGGTAAAAGAGTTGGCACCTAGTGGAACTTGGCCTTAGAGCAGATTCCTTCACTCCTGGCCTGCACAGCTGGTCCCATGCACAGATGTTCCTTATCCTCCAGACTATTCCTCCTCTCTCTAGCCCTCCCGTGGGGAGGGCTAGCCAACATGGTTTGATGTCCCACCTCTGAGAGGAAACTAGGGCCATGGGTGAGATACAAAGTGTCTGCCCCATGCTTCCTCTGCTGGATTAAGATGGGGATTTGGCTGCTGGGTAGGTCCCTTGGAGCATCAGTGGGACCAAGAGCGTGGCACTGTGCCTGAGGAATGTACAAGGTGCTTGGGGAAGGTCTCCAGGAGGCGTGGGCTTGCTGGTGGAGTCAGTTTGCTGTCAGATGGGAAGAGTTCTGGAGGGATCAGCATGTGCAAGGTAGAGAGATGAAGAGAGCATGTTATGTTCAGGGATCTGGAAGGAGCTCTGGGTGTCCCTGGTTTGCCAATACAGTGCAGGAGTGGGGGGGGGGGGAAGGGGGGGAGGTGGTGGCAGCAGAGGGAAGGTTGGGTGGACCATGAGGATCTGTGTATGCCACATTGAGCAACCTATACTGTATTCTCTGGGTTCAGTGTTTTCAAGCACAGGGAAATTTTTGAGCAGGGAGAGACCTTTCTGAACCCACAACTTTAATGTATTGAGACAACACTCTAATCAACTGAGCTATCCTGCCAGGACACCACTGTCAATTTCTTAGTTTTGACCAATGCATTATGGTTAGGTAAGATATTAACCATAGGGGGAGCCGGGTAAAGGCTATACAGGAATTTTCTGTAATATCTTCATAATTTTTCTGTAGATCTCAAATATTCCCAAAGGAAAAACAATTTTTTAAGATAAGATATATGAGGAGCATAGCAATTGCTCAGCTGATGATAGAATCTTGCCCTTCCCTTCAGGCTGACAGTTGAGAATTTCCTCTGCTACTGCAGCTGTCTGAGCCATGCCCCCTCACCCACAAGTAAGGCTGAGTTGAGGACTCCTCAGGCTATGATATCGGACCAGAAAGAAGTAAATGGAAAAGGTAACTACTTGTTGTCTGATAGTGCAGCACCGGGTATTTCCTTCCCAAGGAAGGGATGTAGGAGATGTTTTTCCTTAATGATTACCCCCAGTGTCCCCTTGTCCGTTCCTTCATAGAGGCCTTCCTGACTACCCATTCTTAAGAGTTCACACACAAACTCACACATACATCATCCCTTTTTATTGCTCTCACAGCTATCATCATTAACTGAAATCTTACTTATTTACTCTCCCCTGTTCCTTCATCTCACTAGAACTTCAGCCTCCTGAGCTCAGGACCTGTGTATCTTGTTCATTGCTATGTCCTCAGTACCTAGCACTGGGCCTGCTGCCTCATAGGCACTCAGTTTTAATGGAATTGATTGAATTGAAATTCCCAGGTGGCAGGTTGCAGCCCACAGCACCAGCTGCTGTTGGCCAGGCCTTCTCTGCCCTAAGGCTGATGTTTTGCTCTCCTGTCCTGTCCTGAAGACCTGGGGCCACCTCTTCCCCACACCTGACTTCATCTTCTTTGTTCACTTGCCCTTTCCATCTTGTTTACCTGTCTGCCAGCAGCTGCTACACTACCTGCCAGCTTTAATTCTGCTTCATTTAAGCTCATTTGCACCAATTTCTTTTTTTAGAACAATCCACGCAGTCCCCTGAAGAGCAGCACATGCTGTGGGCGGCCCTGCTTCCCTTTTCCTGATGAGCACAGAGCAGCAGTTTCCTTCCCTCTGAGCACTCACTGAAAGCGCTTTGCCAGAGCAGGAGAGGCCTAGACTCAGAGATGCTCATTTCCTGTGGACCTGAAGCCAGGGGCACACGCTGTGGAAATTCTGAATTTTAAGGGGATGGAAAGTCCAAAGTGCTTTGGGGCTGACCTGCTTCCTGAGGTGACTTCTCCTCCCTCACAGCTGTAGGACCCACCCCACATCCTCATCACTGGGCCTTTAGGCCTCGCGGTCCTGGGGGCTACAACTCAGGAGAGAGTCTGTTCTGCTCCCTAGAAATTGGAGTGAGAAAGAGGTTCAGAGTAGTGGCCCCACCCAGGGAATGTTCTCTCTTACCCTTAGAGCTGGCAACACCAGAGGCTGCAGAATTGCCCTTCTGTGCAGTGGCCTAGAATCTCAGCCCAGAATGGGAAAACACAGACTTCCTAACACATTGTCACATCCACCTCTCACTTTCTGCTGCTGCAGAAGGCTCAGCATAAAATGAAATCATGTTGCTTTTCATAGAAATGAAGCCAAGGCAGGAATGTGGTCAGGCAGAAACTGAAGGGCCAATGAGACTTATCTGGAAGAAGAGAAATTCCTGGGGTTGGGTCAACCAGGGTAGTGGAACTGGAACTTTGGCCTCAGCCAGAGGAGGTAGTAATCCCACCTCCACCACTAATTCACTGCAACCTCAGGCAAGTCGCTGAACCTCTCCGAGCCTCAGTTTCCACATCTCTAAGGTAGAACTTTTCATACCTGCCTACCTTGCATGGTACATATCTGGTAGTGTACGGTATCTGACACATAGGGAGTACCCAATAAGTAAAAGCTTTTATTACCATTTATAGGCTTTAAAACAGTGAGTGACACATCTTTACTGTGATTCAGAGAGTCATATTGCCTCATTACTTAACCATTCCCTCCTAAAAGTGCACTGGGGTTTGCTGAGGACTTGCAGGGCCTCTCAGAAAGACACAGGCATTCCCACATCTACAGATGAGGGACTTGGCCTCAGACCTTGAATTCACTGACTTAAAATTAATTGCTATTAGCCAGATTGTGCTCCCTATAATGTAGTGTTTTCGATTTTAAAAAAGCACAAAAGCCCTAGCTGGTTTGGCTCAGTGGATAGAGTGTCAGCCTGCGGACTGAAGGGTCCCCACTTCCATTCCAGTCAAGGGCACATGCCTGGGTTGTGGGCTTGATCCCCAGTAGGGGGCGTGCAGGAGGCAGCCAATCAGTGATCTCTCGCATCATTGATGTCTCTATCTCTCCCTCTCCCTTCCTCTCTGAAATCAATAAAAATATATTAAAGGGGGAGTGGGGGGGAGGGGGAAATCCACCTACAACAACAGAGAAAGAAATGCTTGATTTCTGGGCTCTGTCGTGGCACTGGATACCTCCAGAGAACTGGCGCTGTGTTCCAACACTTAACTGTTCTAGGTTCTGTTTCCTACTATATGGCCCCTTTCTTTCTGCTGCTTCCTGCTGGCAAAGGAAAGTTGATGACAAGACTTGGGCAAAAGCAAAATGTAGTTTTAAATTAAATAATACATTAAGAAAATGAGCTATGTCTAAGGAGAACAAATTCAAGTGTGATCTGGGATCTACAGGTTCGCCATCCAGTGGTTCTAACCCTGGCCACTCACTAGACTCCCCTGTGGAGCATTAGAAGCAATAGCCCAGCCGGAGTGGCTCAGTGGTATGAACCAGGAGATCACGATTCCCAGGTTGCAGGCTCAGTTCCCAGTGTGGGGTGTGCAGGAGGCAGCTGATCGATGATTCTCTATCATCATTGATGTTTCTGTCTCTTCCTCTCTGAAATAAATAAAAATATATTTTTTAAAAATTCAGGGTCTTTAAACAATAAAATTAAATTTAAAAAAAATTTCAGGGCAGGGTTACCATGGGGGTGAGGAAGGACAGGATGCATTTGGGGAGAGGCCGACAGGGGGCCTTAAAGATTTTCTTAGTTTTCTATTTCTTAAGCTGATGTTTGACATATAAGGAATCATTCTATTATTTTTCATACCTTATATGTACATATATATGTGTCACATTTATGACATGTAAAGTATTTTAATAAAAAAATTGTAATAGGAACAAAAAGAAGACCATAGATATCTATGGTAGTTATGAGTAATGAAAATGCACAAATTAAAAGCCAACAACATGCTGTGTTGGTAAGGATGTGGAGCAACTTGGAATTTCATGCAGGCGAGTACACGTGCAATTTATGCCTGCTGTCTTCGTAACTAGCCCTCCTTTTCATTCTCAGAAGTTCTCCAGATGGAATCGACTAGCAAGAGGGCCCTGTGCTCTCAGTGGTAGCAGCTGCCCCTGTTTCTTGTCCCAGGGCAAACAGAAATGCTGAAGAGAAACAAGGTGAAACTTTCTGATTAAATAGTCACTCCTACTTACTTGGAAAGCCTCCCTTGTTCCTCATCTGTAAATTAGGCATAACTTACCTTATGGGTTTGCTGTGATAATTCAATGAGATTATCTATGCTCAGGATGCAAGAAATGGAAATCTCCCTTCTTTTTCCAAATTAAATGAGGACAGTACCAGCACCTGGAGGGACTTTAATATTACCCTGGGAGGCAGGGAGCCCTACCCCCTTTCTGTATCATCTAAGGCTCTCCCAGGCTTACAAAGTCCCAAGAAGGTCCCTGTAGATTAAAAGCGATCTAAAGACACATCTACCAACTGCAGTGTGTGGACTTCAGGTGGATCCTGATTCAAACCAATCAACTAGAACAGATTCCTGATAAAATCAGGAAAATATGAGTAAGGATTGAAGATTAGGAGATGGCAAGGTGTGATAATGGCATTGTGTTTGGGCTTCAAAAAATTTCTCCTTCCCAAATAGCTATTCTCTGATCTCAAATAAAGGCATGCTGCTTCTCATTTTGATACAGCCTAAAATATTTATGGATAAAATCTTATAATGTCTAAGATTTGCTCTAAAATAATCCAGTGGTGGGAGTTGAGGGGGGTGGATAGAGATTAAACAAGAGTGGTCAGGAGATACTCATTGTAGCTGGCTGGTAGATACAAGGGGCTCATTGTTCTCTTCCTTCTATTTTTACCTACATGTGAAATTTCCCAGGAAGAAGAGAAAAAAGGGAGAGGAGAAGGGAGGGAGGGAAGCAGGAGGCAGGAAGACTCCCCCGCCCTCCATGCAGGATAGAGCTCCAGCTCTCAGAGCACAGTGCAGCTCTGTGGTGATGCCAGCAGCCCTCCTGCAGGAGATCTGTACTAGCCAGCATGAACTTCAGAAGAAAACAGTTCTACACATTATGCCAGCTTCACCAGTCCTTCAGGAGCCACACCCACCCAGAGGACTGCAGTATCATGAGTGCAGAGTCCACTTGTCTTTTTCCGTCCGTCCCGGGAAACCAGGCACAAGAGGTGGGGCCACTTGCCTTTTTCAATCTCCTGAAGGACCACAGCAGTTTCTCTTGAAATACACCAAATGTTTTCATTCCACACCTTCTGGCACAGTCTGGCAGCTCTTGAGAAGGAGCTCAGATCTGAAAACAAAAGATCCTGGCCATCCCCTACCCCAGCCCAGGCCTCTCTGGCCTCCTGGAAAGGGGAGGAAGATGGGGTGGAGTGGGTGGGCTCATATTTCCTGGTAATACCTGTTCTTCCCCCATTCTCCCTCCTCCAACCAAATACAGACCAGGAGACTTCTTGCTATAGAGGTGCCATGATATAAGTTAAATGCCCATGGATCCCCATTGTACAAGTAAGGGGAACCCTCTGGAGAGGCCAGGTGCTGTACGAGAGCCACTCCTTCCCACTCCCTCCATCACGAGTTCCTCAATCAGCCTTGGCTGGGTAGCTCAGTTGATTGGAGCATCGTTCAGATAAACTAAGGTTGTGGCCAAGTCAAGGTACATGCAAGAATCAAGCAATGGCCCAGCCAGAGTAGCCCAGTGGTTGAGTATGAACCTATGAGCCAGGAGGTCACAGTTCAATTCCTGGTCAGGGCACATGCCCAGGTTGTGGACTGGATCCCTATAGGGGGGCATGTTGGAAGTGGCTGATTGATGATTCTCTCTCATCATTGATGTTTCTGTCTCTCTCTCCCTCTCCCTCTCTGAAGTCAACAAAAAAGAAAAAAGAACCAGTAAATGCATTAATAAGTGTCTCCCTCTCTCCCTTCCTCTTTCTCTCTAAAAATCAATAAATATTTTTTAAGTTCCTCAATCATCCACTGGCTTTTACTGCCCCCTTGTGGTCATTTGCTTCCCATAGCCATCCCTGCAATACAAATGTCCTGCCTACCCACCTTGCACTAAGCCAGTTTTCATTGAGGAGCAGACATTTGGCTTGTTAGTGGGAAAACTTCCTCTTAAATGAATATCTTCCAAACAAGTTATTTGCTTTTTAAAAACGTTACTGGTTAAAAATTTCACAATTAAAATTTAGGGAGAAAAATATCTTACAAAGTGACTGGTTATAGGGAAAAGCTTGCCTCTATATGGGTAAAGGAAGCTCTAATACCATAAAAAACAATGCTCCTGCAGACACTGTGCTTGTTCCTGGCAGGATTGTGGCTGGATCTAACTCCTAGGAGTCTTTTTAGAGCCCAAGCCACTCAGTGACACCCCTGGTGACAGCGGAACAGATTTAGAAGCCAAGTCTCATCCCAATCTTGGGCAAACAAGCCACTAAGCCTCTATATCCAGTGGTACTGAGGGCAAGGTTTTAGACCCCAGCGTGCAGAGGACACAGGCAAACAATTTGATGAAACCAGTTTGTGGCCCACTGCTTTCTACCCTGTGTGAACTGGTTCTCAGAACACCAATGAGCAAGTCTGTCCCCAGCTGTTCCAGACGTCTAACACCCGAGCAGAAAGAGCCAGGCCACTGTGAACTGTTCCAACTTACTCCCAGAGGCCCCGTCCTCTCCGCCAGAGCTGTAGTGCAAATGCCTGCGTTTTGTTTGTTTGTCTATTTTGTGATGCAAGTGCCTGGTTTATGCTTTTGACTGCCCAGGCATCCACTTCAAAGACAGCTGTCGGGAGTAAACACGGTGCCAGCCACACGGCTAGAAGAGCCAGGCTGCTCTCCATCCCCAAAGTTCCGTTGTTTTAGAGATCTTTGGTTTGACTTTTGTCATTCTCTTCTTGCCTTTAAATATTGCTCTTATGCTTTACATTCACTAATAAAGAGTGAACCCAAGAAACCCTAGGCTCCCACCCTCAACACCAATAAAAACAAAACCCCGAGTGCGCTCCCCCTCCCTCTCTCTCTCTCTCTCTCTCTCTCTCTCTCTCTCTCTCTCTCTCTCTCTCTTTCTCTCCCTTCCCCCATCCACCTCTTCACTGTGGAATCTCCAGAAACTGTGAATAATAAACCTTGTTTTCTTTTTTAAAATATATTTTTATTTATTTCAGAGGGGAAGGGAGAGATAGAAACATCAATGACGAGAGAGAATCATTGACTGGCTGCCTCCAGCATGCCCCCTACTAGGGATTGAGGAATCGAACCTGGGGTCCTTCAGTCCACAGGCCAACCCTCTATCCACTGAGCCAAACCAGCTAGGGCAAACCTTGTTTTCTTTTATTCAAAGTTTCCTGAAGGTTATTGCTGAAGGCATCTTGCAATTGTGGTATACTAGTACACACACTAGGACCAGCTTAAAACAATAACTTTGCCCAAAGATGCCTTCTCTCTGATTTCTGACACACAATCAGCACAGTGTGCCTACAAGCAGTGTTTTCCCATGACCCGAGGAAAGCCTGCCTTTCTGGCTCATGCTGCCACAGCAGTCTTTAAAGGACCGAGTTAGGGAGACTGGAGCCTCAGGAGGGAGCCCACTGTAGTGAGACGCTCAAGCTGGGCAGCTGGAGAGTCCCAGCTTCAATAACGGCATGTCCTCTACAGATGGCCAAAAGACATGAAAAAATGCTCAAAGTCACTGATCATCAGAGAGATGCAAATTAAAACGACAATGAGGTATCACCTGTCAGAATGGCTACCATCAACGAATCAACAAATGACAAGTGCTGGTGAGGATGCGGAGAAAAGGGAACCCTCGTACACTGCTGATGGGAATGCAGACTGGTGCAGCCATATGGAAAACAGTATGGAGTTTCCTCAAAAAAATAAATATGGAACTGCCGTTTGACCCAGTGATCCCACTTCTAGGAATATATCCTAAGAAACCTGGAACCACCAATCAGAAAGAATGTATGCAC